TAACTTACCAACCTAGTGGTAGCTCGGTTCGATTGGCAATCCCGCTATTATCATCTTCGTTGAAAAGTTAATGTACCAAAAAAATACGTCCCACATCTCAAACATGATGATTACAGTCATCACAGTATGCCATGGCCCAATCAATAGCAACATACAATATATTTGAGATGTGTGCTTAGAGATCATGTTGAAAGTAATGTCGGTAGATCCAGTCTCAAGTTTTACACCCTTGTTTGGCATGTAATATACTCAATATCATGCATAGTTTTTTGAAGAAAGAAAAAAAGAAAATTCAATTCTCATTGACTGCATTGTTTTCAAAACCGGATCAGACCGGATGGTCGGATTGGAAAAACCGGAAACCTGTCATCTGATCGATTTCGTTTTCCTTCAAAACTGTTTTTTCCTCTAAAATCATTGATTTTGGTCAGTAAATCGCTGAACTGACCGGTTAATTGTTTGAACCATTCAAACAGTTTTGATCATTTTCCAATTTTTTATTTTATTATTAAAAAGAGTCGGCCGTTCAAGTCGAACGGTCCGACCATTCGAACTGATAACCAGACCCCTGATAGGTTCGGTCACTGGTTCATTTTTAAAAACCATGATATATACAGTGCAAATACAAGGTTTAGAAATACAATATGTCAGATTTTACACTCTATATATTTGTATTTGTACTCCTAAGCTTTGCAAATACAAGGTTTAGAAATACAAAATAGCAGATTTTGCATTATATTGTACTCTTCCCAAACCTTGTATTTGTACTCAGTTTGGGAACGGTACAAATACAAATATTGTAAATTTTCTTTTGCATTTAAAATAGGAGCAAAGCTTGCATCCAAAAAAAAAAATTGAAACAAACTTTTGCATTCAAAGTTAATCAATGTAAAAAAGATCAATTCCAGTCCTAAAATTTGTTTTATATCTATCCGCAACATTTTAGAGTGGTCAGATAATAAGAAACTAGTCCAAAAGGCTAAAACAACCTAAAATGCAAAGAAAATGGCCTGAAACTTTCAGAGTCCCTACATATGATATATGAAAGTGGCATGATCCAATATGGTTTACAAGATCAGACTTGAAAAAATACTATTGAATTATTCTCAAGTATTGCTGTTAAATGAAATCTAGTTTTAGCCTTTTAGAGCCCGGATCAATGGATGGGTGCAGTTAGGGCTTTAAATACTCAATTCAACAGTTTGAGATCTGATCTTAAAGTGGTTTTTGGATCAAGGGCGGAAATGGAATTCTGAAGCTAATTTTGTCAAATTTCCAAGATTTCCAAGTTTGGGTAAAATTCTATATTTCTGCTTATAGAAGCATTGTTCATCGGAGAACCATTTTCATTTCCAGTCTGCATAAATTCTTGAAATTACTGACTCCACTAGAACATGGAATTCAGAAGCTTCTTTTTCCATGTTTCTCCAAATCCCTTGATTCAGAAAGAGCTGCCAAGTAGAAAAATCCAATACATGGAATTGGAAATTCCAATTCCAAACCCACTCTCATCCACACACAGCCCAGTGGATCAAAACTAAGGGATTAGTGGACAAAATTGTAGAGAATTTATTTTCCATATTTAAATCATTTCCTTTGTGCTAGTAATACCTATGAAATTTATAAATCAAATATACCAACTTTACAATTTACAAGTTAAGGCCCACAGAGACACTGAACCATTAAAAAGTTTGGCGTTTCCATACTCTTGCTCCCCTATTATTGAATTAAGACATTAGAATGTATGTGCTTCCTTAGAGTCAATGTCATAAGCTCTTTCATATAGAACATCTCCTTCTAGTGGATGAAGCTTCTTCTAACGGATCTTGCAGATTCACCTCTTTTTTTTTTTTTTTTTTGCAATTGAGGAAAGCTAAAAAAAAAGAATAAAAGAGGGATTGATTCTTCCTATTTCAAATGGATGCAATAAACTGTCAAAAAACCAATCTTAGTAAATCTGAAGGTTGTGCTTGGTTTGAGAGAAAGTAAGAGAGAAACAGAGAGAGTTGAGGGAAAGTTGGATGGGTTTTTGTGAGATTATTTAACAACTTTTTACTCAACTTTCTTTTTCTCTCTTTTTTACTATCAAAAACCACACAGCAAAAATTACTATTGTACTGCATACTTTTGTGCATCCTAATTTCCTAATGTACCCTGCATGATTTTTGAGCCACTTTTTTAGTTACAAAATTAGACCCAAAAAAGTAGGGAAATGTAGGGCTGTCAATAGTGTAGTCAAAAAGCCTGGAATTCATCCAATCCGATTATTTTGGATTTGGATGATCCATTTATATAATAGGATTGATTGTGAATTGACCTTACCTGATCCGATTAAGAGTCAAAATCCAATTAATATAATACAATTATATGTATATTAATTTATGGTGCATGAATTACATCATGAAGCAAAAAAAAACGTGAACTAATGATAAAAGGAAAAGTTACAATGGATATTTTTAATGTTGTTAAATTTTGATAGTAAATATACCTTTTAAAAGTGAACAAATGAAAAATAAGTAGACCACGTGACATCTTTAATGTAATTGATTGAAATCTTAATTTAATGTGTAATAAATATAATAATTGGATTCAACTTATAATTAATAAATTTAGTATTTTATATTTAAGGAATTTTATTCTACATGTATAATAAATTTTGTTTGTTTTGAAAATAATGAAACAGGCTTGAATTAAATCCGAATTGAATGGGATCAAATCCAATTCGAGAACCCTACACCTGACCAAATTTGGTTTCAAATCATACATGAAAAATAAAGTAACAAAAGAAACCACATTTTTGTTTATTTATTTTTCACTCTCTTTACTCTTCCTTGTGCATATGCATATGTCAACCTGAACCACCTGTGCTTTATATGGGTTCTTTTTTTTTTAATCCTTTCTTTTGGGAAATGGATCTGGTCTGGTTGGCCTGACCCAAGTTGCACCTTAGATATACCAATACCAGCCAACATCTTTTCATCAGTAAAGAATATTAAATCTGACCACATGACATTTGTCATAACTGGTCCAGACCCTTCTACCGAAAAGAAAAGAATATAAAAACTGGTTCAGGCCCACAGATTTCCGTTAGTATGGTTCATTCCTTTAGTACGAATCGGGTCCGCGGACAATTTTTTATAGGGCCGAGTTATGAAGTCTGTTCCAAGCATTTGAATGGTTGAACATCGATGATTGAGTCATTTTTTCCATTGGTAAATAACTTGTTACAAGGGGAAAAAAAAGGTCTGGACCTTCAACTTGCATCAATTCACAACAGGAAGTGATATGGGCACATCCCAGTTTTGATAAGGGGTACCCAATACAAAATAATGGGGTCATGGGGTGTGCCCAAATCAATCTTTATCTCCATTGGAATTATTGTACGAGAGCCAAAAATGTATACTGAGAAATAGTAAGAAATACTAGTACCAGTACACAAGTTATCTGGCTTATGCAACTCTTTGAGTCTTAGCTTTGTATTACAGGCACTACACACTTCCAAGAAAAATGTTGAACATGCAATAAGTCCCACCTTGTCTGTACCGTGAGGAAGACACAAAGCTGCATAATATTGAATAAGGACCTAGCCTTCCATACAAGTAGGCCCCACAATTTGTAAATGCTAGGGAGGGGCATTGCCCATTGTGGATAGAGTGAATAAGGACCTAGCCTTCCGTACAAGAAATAGATGTCTTTATTTACCTCAATTAATTATTTATTGATCAATTTAGGGGTGAGCATTTGGTTTATTCTGTTAAAAATCGAACCGAATAAACTGAAATACAAAAATGAAAACCAAATAATAATAAAACCAAAATAACCGAATTGGAATTTTTTGTTCAGTTTTTAGTTATTTCGGTTAAAAATCTAATTTAATTAATATATATATAATATTATATATTATATATTATAACCTATAATATATTATGAAATTTAATTTCATTATAATACATTATATATAATATATAAATATATAGAATATTATATATTAAATATTGTATATTATATATTATATAAAAAATTTTAGTTAATTTGGTTTTTTTGATTAACCAAATTTATAAAACTGAAAACCAAAACCGAATTACTCAAAAACCAAACCAAAAAACCCAAAACCAAAATTTTCAGTTCGGTAGTTTGGTTTTAACCGAATAATGCTCACCCCTAAATCAACTCATCCTGATTTTGAATTTTGATAAAATGGGGCAGGATCCATTGTGTAGCCCAAATTATTATTGGCTACCCCTGTTGTGTAGCCCCATGAAAAAAAAAGAGACCAATTCACTACTTTAAAGAGAATGGTAATATTTTGTAGCTGGACTACAAACTACAAGGCCATGTAACATACAGAGAACCTGCACCCATCATTGAGAGGGCCCATCCTAGGGTGATCATTGCTGGGCCTAGGATTTTTATCCAAGCCTAGCCTGGGCCTATGTTTAGGGACACTATGTTGGTAAACATATGCTAGGCCAGGCCCAACCCGGCCATGATCATCCCTAGCCCAGCGTAGTAGAATAACCGGACAGCATATTTGCTCAGACTTTCAAACAAGATGCCGACAAGAAAACATGGATGGGTACGGGCCGAAAAAAGAAAACATAAGTAAGATAATGAAACTAAGAAAGGAAATGGTCTGTTAAAGCCTATAAATGATCTTGCTTCCTGCAGATTTATAATATATTTTTTAATCATAATAGTGGGCTCATTAGTAGTTTAGGCTGCATATGTTTAAGATACAAATGCAGAACCGGCCGGTTCGGTTCAATTGATGTTTTTGTGAGAGATATGTGGATCACTTTACCACATCCACCTGGCTATCTCCAAATGACAGTTCCAAGTTCAACCACCGAGTCATACCAATACTAGCATAGCTCATTTTTTGAAATTTGCGCCTTGCTTAAAAGTTAAATTGACTGATCAAGTTAGGATTGCCAATACCCATAATTTTGCAGATTCTAACGCTTCTCAAAGTCTCAATTGAAGAGCACCATTGAATGCCATGAATCAAGAGCACTCATCCTGGTATCATTTAATACAATATACACAACAAATTCACCAAGAAAGCAAATACCGCAGAGACCAGGCGGCAAGCATAGCTCCTACATGGCCTTCTTTGCAACCAAAAAGATTTGGCTTGTCAGTCTAGCACCATGGTTCAATGTATCAAACAAAATTGTTACCCTTCAGAGTTTATATCTATATTTGGACAAGGCAAGAATAAAGAGATTGACAAGAGTTCACTTTACAACATGATGACAATGTATCAAACTAGAAATTCTGAATCTTACATCTTTTCTCTACATTCCACAAATCATGACTTGTTTTCTAGTCCAAATTCCAATGACGTGGATAGAATACAGAAACACCAAAGCTCATCTGCAATTATGCCCCAATAAAGGGCGGCGGTAGATTACAATATAGGCATCCAGCAATGAAACTATAGAAGGCTTGTGCTTCCAAATGGGTTAGTATTCTGGGGATGAAGAGCAGGGTTCACAGGAAAAGCCCCAAAACCGGTATCGCCAAAAGGATTTGATGCGCCCATAATTAAATTCCGTTGTTGCTGTGGTTGATAGTTAGGCTGATAGTGTATGAAGGGATTTGATTGCTGTTGAGACATTGCAGCCATTTGAACAGCTGGAGGGGGAACCACATTGTTCGACAATGCAAATGGATCCTGTACCTCGAATGGGTTTGGGGTTGGTGCTCCATAAACAGGCTTCTGCGCTGCTCTATATGCACCTTCGTCATACAAACTGTTGAGAGTAAGTGTGTCCAATCCACCAGCCTGAATATAGCACTAGTCAGATGCTGAAAACAAAAGAACAGTATTGGGATGTAGAAGGTGATATTCACAGATAATCACATGCTTTATAGCAAGCAGTTAAGATCATCTGTTACAATCTCCAACCCCCCTCCCCAGTGAAAAAAAAAGAGGAAAAATAAATAAATTGAATATCTGAAGTTAGATTTTGCGTCAAACTCTTCAAAACAATGTTTAACACCTAGAGGAGTCGGAACAAATTGAATATGATACCAAGATGTTTCCCCAAAATGTAAAGCAAATAGACAATTTGTTCTTTAAATGAGCCAGGATTTTTGTGCCAAAAAAGAGAACAAATTAAGAAGACGTTAATGGGGGGCAGAACTTTTTCATCCTGATCCTGAGTTTTTTTTTTTTTCTTTTTCTTCTTTCAAGAAAAAAGCAAGGTATATTCCATGTATACATTCTGATACTTACATATAAAAAGCATCCTTCCCTAGCCATACTCTTCTATCCTTAGGACCCTACCCTCTCTAGAAGGTCTGGTTGCACGAATTCTTTGCATAAGATCTATCCAGGACCCAACCTCGGAACCTCCAAATTATTTAGAGGCCTTCTGAAAGTGGGGTTGAACTCACCCAACTCTCCTTGATGACTAAAGACATTAGAAATTCAGCATTCTTTGTTTTGGGATATCTCACAGAGATTTGGGAAAACCTTCTTGAGAATTTGATTTCCACAAATGTATTCTAAATCCATCCCCCACTTCAAATTTGATATCTTTTTTAAATTCACCAAAAGATTTCTGATTCCTCAGTTTGCCAAAGTACAGTTGAGTTTTGGGCTGACTTACTAAGGGCATACTTGTCTTTGTACTCTGTTTTTATTTGTAGGTATATAAGCTAATGAAAGGGGCAGCCAGACCTATTCCTGGTGGGAGCTAAACTCAGAAGCCGACAGTAGCTAAATCTGGCACTCACAGGGATTACCTATTTAGTGATAGCTTTCTGCCTATTAACTTTCTGAGTGCTTAATTGTTGTGTACATGTCCTCATGTACCTCTTTTTCAAAAAAAAAAAAAAAGAGTTGGTTGTGCAATTCCACATTACCCCATATAAGTAGGAAATTTTTATGGGTTAACACAGCTAAGGAGATTTGGGATAGAGTAGAAGAAACTTATTCGCAGAATGAGAATGTTGCTAGAGCCTACCAGTTGAGAAACCAAGTGATTGCTACTACGCAAGGAGATAAGTCTGTTGCTATTTATTTTTCAGCCCTCAAAACCTTATGGCAGGAGATAGATCATTTGGAGACTGTGGTTTAGGAAAATAGCAAAGATGCAGCAACTTATCAGAAGCTGGTAGAGATGGATCTAGCAGGACTTAACCCTGAGTATGACATTGCACGACAACATATTCTTTTCTAAGACAGTATGAGCCTGCATTTGGCGTTCTTTATTTTAAGGACTTATCTCCTTTTTGTAATTAAAATGCCCTTATGAACACTCAGTTTTTAACTACACAAAAGAGATAAGTCCTTAAAATAAGGAATGTTAAATGAAGCCTAATTCTCTCTCAGGCATAATATGCCTTTGTGCTTGGAGAGGAGAGTAGAAGGAATGTGATGATGAGGAACCCAAACCTTGAGCAGCCAGCTATGGTTAGCACAGTGAAGCTTAAGCCGAGTGGGGACAAGAGTGGAAATGAACCGAGGAAGGAGGACAAGAAGGATCTGATTTGTGACTATTGTAAAAAACCTAAACATACCAGAGATACCTACTATAAGTTTTACCACACCTTATATTGAACCGACTTAGAAACAAGGGAAATGTGAAAATGGCAATCATTGGTGATTTATCAGGACCACCTACTACAACTTCTCTAGAGTCTGTTAAAACACCTGCAATGCGGGCCGAATTGGAGAGATATGGGCAGTTTTTGAATCAGAGGGATACAGCCAATTCCAACTCATTATCAAGTGGATAGCAAGGTGCAAGTGGATCAGGAGGTAACCATTCTACTTCGTTTGCACATGCAGGTAGTTCACATGCCACTACAAATTATGTATCCATTACAGGTAAGGGGGGACCTCCCTGGATTATAGACTCAGGAGCCTCAGAACATATGACCTTTGTTGTGGCAAAGATAGAGTTTCCACAAATGATGGATCACATGTTCCCATTACTGGGAAAGGGTCTAGTAAGATAACCGATACCATTATCCTACCTTTTGTCCTTCATGTTCCTACACTGAGCACTAATCTTTTATCTGTTAGTATCTTGACAAAGAATTTGAATTGTTCAATGATTTTTTTCTCATGGTCATTGTGTTTTGCAAGATCTAGAATCAAAGAGGATGATTGGGAGTGATCGCGAGATTAATGAAATCTATCTTCTTAATGCGCTTCATAGTCATCAAATTCATCATGTCAGCAGGAACATTGAGTCAGAGTCAATGGATCAGATTATGCTTTGGCATAATCAGTTAGGGCATTTGTCTTTTGTTTCTTTGCGTTTTTTGTTTTCAAAATTGATTTTGTCAGTTTGTCCAGCTTGGAGTGTGAGGGTTGTCAACTTGGAAAGCGTTGTAGACAATCCTTTAAAGCAAATAATAAAAAATGTTCTTCTATTTTTTATGTTGTTCATATTTGATGTGTGGGGGCCATACCATATTTCCTCTCTGAGTGGCTATCGGTATTTTCTTCTGCTTATGGATGATTATTCTCAATACTCTTGGATATATTTGATGAGATCCTATGATGAGGTACTGTCTTTGGTTCAAAAGTTCCATCAGATGGTGTTGGCACAGTTTGAGGTACAAGTGAAAGTGTTTAGATCAGATAATGCCAAGAAATACTTTGAAAAAAACCTGGCATCATACCTATTGGAGCATGGAGTGCCATCAAAGCAGTTGTATATACACTCCACAATAGAATGGTGTAACAGAAACGAAGAATAGACATATTGTGGAAGTACCAAGAAATGTGACTTTGAGCTCTACAGTTCTAATTCGTTTTTGGAGTGATACAATCCCTACCGCAGTTTTCTTGATTAATCGAGTGCCTACTCGTGTTCTTGGATATAGCATTCCATCCAGCCTTCTTTTTCCCGAGGTGAAGATGTTCCATATTCCTCTAAGGGTTTTTGGATGTGTATGCTTTGCCCATGCTCTTGGTCCTCACCGCTTAAACCTGAACCCTAAGGCAAAGAAGTGTTTATTCCTTTGGTATGCAGGAAATTAAAAGGGGTATTGTTGTTATTATCCAGTCTCCGGGAGCCAATATGTTACTATGGATGTCACTTTTTTTGAGTCCACACCTTTTTTCTCGAGGGGTTCCTCTCAAGGGAAGTGTTTTGGAGAAGAAAGTGAGCAATCTATACCACTTCATGTTCCATCTCCTTTGTCCACTACAATGTCTAACCCACATACTCCACCCACCTTGCCACCTCCATTGTATCCTGCCTCTCAGTGTTTTACACAACAGCGCCTACAACAGCACAAGGAGGTTGATTCCATAATAGAGGAACCCACGTCACTCCATATCAGCTCATCGGAGATTCCAGGTTCAATTGACATAGACCCAAGTATGCCTCTTGTTTCCTCTAATGGTTTAATTCCTATTGATGCTACTATCCCTGCTCCTAACATCATTGCAAATGACCTAGATCTCCCTATTGCACTCTGAAAAGGGAAGATGAAGTGTACTACTCATTGCATCTCATACTATCTTTCCTATAGTAGATTATCCCCTTCATATTGGGCCTTCCTTTCCTCCCTCGACTCTGTGTCTATACCCAGGAATGTTAGTGAGGCTCTCTCCAAACCCAAGTGGAAGATATCTATGCAAAAGGAAATGAAAGCATTGATTAAAAATCATACATGGGGGATTATGGATTTACTTGATGGCAAGGAGACAGTTGGATGCAGATGGGTTTATATAGTGAAGTACAAGACTTGTGGGAGTATAAAAATGTACAAGGTGAGGCTGGTTGCAAAAGGGCATACTCAAACTTATGGCATAGATTACTTTGAGACTTTTGCACCAATGACAAAGATGAACTTAGTCCAAATTCTTCTATCACTAGTAGCTACATACTCTTGGCCACTCTTCCAACGTGATGTGAAGAACGCTTTTCTTAATGGGGACTTGCAAGAGGTGTACATGGACCTTCCAATTGGCTTTTACAATGATGTGGATAAAGGAAAGGTATGTAGGTTGAAGAAGTCTCTATATGGTTTGAAGCAATCACCCAAAGATTGGTTTGACAGGTTTAGAAGTGCATTGGTTGTATTTGGCTATACTCAAACTCAATCTGATTATACTCTTTTTGTAAAGAGGAGGGGGTCACTGGTGTCGGTTTTTATAGTGTATGTGGATGACATTGTAGTCACAGGAAATAATCTGAGTGAGATTGATACCTTGAAGAAGAACCTGCACAAAGAGTTTGAGATTAAGAATCTTGGGGAGCTGAAGTACTTTCTAGGCATTGAGGTGGCAAGATCCAAGCAAGGGATCTTCATCTCACAGAGGAAGTATGTTCTGAATCTACTATAGGGAGACATTAAAACTTGGGGCAAGGGTAGTTGATACACCTATTGATCAGAACCACAGTATAAATGCTTCAAAAGGTGAACTAGTGAATGATGTTGGAAGGTACCAAAAATTAATGGGCCAGTTGCTATACTTATGTATGACACGACCAGACATCTCTTATGCAGTGAGTGTAGTGAGTCAATACATGCATGCCCCACGAGTTCAACATCGGGAGGCTATTGACAAGATGGTTTCCCATTTGAAGGGACACCTAGGTAGAGGCATATTATTTGCTGACCATGGACAGTTGAATTTAGAGGCTTAAACAGATGATGATTGGGCAAGGTGTCTAGATGATAGGAGATCTACATCAGGAGTTTGCACTCTTGTTGGAGGTAATCTAGTTTCATGGAAGAGTAAGAAACAAACAGTTGTGGAAAGGTTAAGTGCAGAAGCTGAATATAGTGCCATGGCAGATGGTGTTTCAGAGCTCCTCTGGTCCATTCCTTGTTAGAGGAGATTATAGTTGAGGCCGAAGAACGTATGGTGCTATACTATGACAATCAAGCAGCAATTAACATTGCCCACAACCCAGTTCAGCATGATAGGACAAAGCGTGACATCCGGAGAAGTTTGCTTACCATATGTTGCATCTAACTTGAAGCTTGCTGATGTTCTTACAAAAGGTGTTGCAAGAAACAAACTGGAGCATGATCTACACAAGTTGGGAATGTGTGACATCTATTCCCACCTTGAGGGGGAGTGTTGAGTTTTGGGCTGACATCACTTGTTTTTATTTACATAGCATAGTTAGGGAGTTATTGGGCCCAAGGCCCATTAGTTTATGTTTTACGTTAAGAGTGTTTATTCAGTTCTTACAAGTAGTCGACTTAATAAGGGCATACTTGTCTTTGTACTCTGTTTTTATTTGTAAGTATATAAGCTAATGAAAGGGGCGGCCAGAACTAATTTTTGGCTTCTCCCATTCTCTTCAACCTCTCTACTCTTTCTTTCTCTATATAAACCTTCTCTTCTCTTTCTTTTGTTCTTTCTTTCACAGTTTTTATATCAAAACAGATCTTCCGTACTTTTCAACTCACAATTATATTATCTAAATTGCATAACTCAGGGGCTGTTTGATAACAACTAACTAAATATGATGAACTGAAAAGCTTATTGTTTGTCTTTTAGTGAATAAGATTTTTAGGAGGTTGCGGGCTCCTTAATGGCAAAAACTGAAATTGGGCAGACCACTATATCCTTAAAATCTTTATAATTTAATTATTTTTAACTAAAATACAAAGCAACAAATCTTTCAGTTCAATGACTTTAGCCATTATCAAACGGCCCCTCAGGCACATTACTGAAGTAATCTAGACTGATCAATATAATTGTGGCTGTGAATTGCATATATATTTGACTTTTTTTATAAGTGCATATATATTTCACCTTTATATGATAAAAAGGTTATGCAAACAAATAGTTTTGATTTCCAGTTACTTCTGTTCCACACATTAATATGCATATCTAGATATTAATCCACAAATTCAAAAGAAAAAAAAGTTTGGCTTTAGAGTCAACTCCCCAATATGCATCCAATCCAAGTCCAATGTCCTTACCTATGCAAGTACATAAAATTAGCAAGTTTCACTTTTATTTGGTTCTGTGATCTGGTCATACATAGAGTCATGCTGCAACTATTGTTGAAGAAAGAAAAGTTTATCCAGGTTCATACAAGAATGCAGTTAAAACCATCATTCTAATTACATTTATATACGTGTCTAGAAAATTCAATACAGATGCCAAATTATCAAACAGAGCAAACATAAATGCAATTTCATTGACCATAAGTGATGCATGTGATAAATATGACAAAAAAAATAGAAATGGAAATGAACTAACCAATTGCCTTTCAGTAACTGAAGAAATGTTGCTACTTGGAGTAGTAACAAGAGCAAGTTCCCATCCAGAAGGATCAAAATCTTTGGTTTGCACAGTACCATTGTCATGGGACGCATGGTCAGCTGCAAATACAAATTCATCTTTGGTCAATTAATGCAAATGACAAAAACAGCAGATCTTGGGAGAGAAGAAACAAAATCAGAATTTAATTGAACAGAAATGCTTACTAGATGGGACAATAGCAAGAGCTAAAGCATTGCTTTCCTCTATTACAGAAGCATCAGGACTTGTAGCATTTAATCCCTATAGATTAAGAAAATAATAAAAATAAAAACAATATTTGGAAAAAAAAAAGTAAGAAGGGCACAACAGAATAAACATCAGATAATAGGAAAATACAAATAACTGAAAAGATATACCAGTAAATCTCCATTATCCACAATGTCAGGAGGAGGAGCATCAGTGCCAGAAGGAGCAACATCATCAGAAGGCAGTGGCTTTGGGTTATCTACAGAAGGTTTATCAGCAGAAGTAGGAGAAGATTCTTCTTCTGGTTTGTATGTCAGAAGGAGTCTCTCTGGTAGTTCCTGATTAAGAATGGGCACGTTACTTTGTCTAACACAAGCCTAAGGTATTAAGTCTATTGATTGAAACAATAAAATCAAGACAAACATTTTTTAGATAATAAGGAACCCCAATGTTCCCTTTCTGAACCTAAACAAATCAGAATATACAACAGATGATAATAACTAAAAATTACATTAGCAATTAGAATATAGTTATGTTAGGATTGTCAATGGGTTGGGACAGGGCGATCGCAGTCCCGAACTGATTATTAATCAGGACAAGATCACGGGCCCAGAACTGTCGCAATTAATAATCAGGATAATTGGATCTTACAATAATTGATTATACTGAAAACTATATTTATTTAGTTATATAATAACTTAAACCTTAAATTTTTATAATATAACCTTAATAAAAATGATAGTAAAATTAGAGGTGTGAAAGTGGGTGCCCGCAGGCGGCCCGCACAAATGCGGGCCGTCACAGGCTGTGCCGCCCTCCCCGATGAAAATTTTGGGGGTCGGCCCGGCACGGCCCACGGCCCAGGTCCGCGTGGGCCCGTGCCGTGCCGTGGACCGGGCTGGCCCTTGGGCCAAGCCTTGGCCCAAGTTGGGCCATGGACAGGGCCAAAGCTATTTTTGCCTATTTATTTAAAAATATTGAAAAAAAAACTTAAAATTTTAATTTTATATGAATTTTGATGTATACAATTGCTTATATATACAATAATTAAATAAAGTAGTATAATAAAATTGAAAAAAAATTGTTTATTTTACTAATATATTATATACTATATACTATTATATAATTATAATTTATATTATATTATATATATGTATAAATATATATAAATAGTATATATGGGCCGTGTCACGGGCCATGGGCGGCATGGCCCGCTTGATCGTGCCGTGCTGTGCCAACCTGTGGACTTCAAACCCCAGGCCCAGCACGGCACAGACCATCGTGCCGGCCCGCGGGCAGCACAACCCGATTTACACCTCTAAGTAGAATACTAAATTATTTATATGTTAATAAATTAAACATTTTTAACTAATCTTATATTGTATATTATCTGCCAAATTTACCATTTCAAACAAAAAATATAAGAAAAATTAGAAGAACCTTATATGTATTTAATAAAATTATTGGCTTGGATCTGAATTGGTTCGGGACAAGCAAGAACCAGAACCAACCCAATTATTAATTGGGACAAAATCATGGAACCAGAACCGATATGATTGGTTTGGTTTGGTACGGGCAATCAGGCAGAACCAACCCATTGACAGCCCTAAGTTATGTAAAACACTGTCATACTAACCAGTGCTTCCCTTGGACCTGAAACCATGCGTGGTGCATCTTTAATATATTCTTCCATGGTTGCAAGAAATGACTGTGGAGGCTGGACAAAGAAGAGTATTGAGTTGACACAATTCAAACTGTCCCATCAAGGGAATCATAAAATCAACTAGAACTTATAATGCAGCACTATCACCTCTCTCAATGCTGGAAACTGGAAATTCCTTGCAAGTTCCAGTCCCCTGCAAATTTCATAGAAATCAGAAAGACCCCCAGCCTGCAGTTAGAAAAAGAAATTTCAGTAGTACACCACACAAACTATTAGATATGTATTCTTGAATACCATGATTAAGACCATCAGGTAAAGAACTGTAAAGAGCAAAATATTCAGAAAATTACCTGTTGGCCAGCTCGTTTATAGATTTCAAGAGCTTTCACGGCTTCATGTCTTGGCATTTCAAAGAACTGCAACAAAATGAAAAATAGTTATGGGAACACAAATAGAGGCTTCCTGGTCTCACAAGAAAAAAGAAGGAATCCACACATAAAGAAAAAGTTCATCTCACCTTATCAACGAGATTGATAATCCCATCATTAACAGCACAATAAACTTTAAAACTCTCCTTCAGTACCTACAAAGTGATTTTGGAACCACAAGCTGTCAGTGCATGTAAGCATATCCAATTAGGAAACACGAACTAAGATACCCAGGTAATTTATTTATATCCCTAGGTACCCATGTCAAAATCACAAACAGGAGTGAAACTATGAGATATCCGTCTGAGCAATCAGATCTTCACCCAATTTCTTCATTACAAGCATTGCTGAATTTGGTATATAATCATGGATCCAACATAAATTATTAAAAACATTCTTACAAATATTGTATTTCAAAAATAAACTGACAAATAATAAGTGTCCATTAATCTTACACACTAAGTTTTTAAGTACATTATGATTTTAGTTTATTATTCTAATATTGCAAATTCAGTATTGTATTATTTTGCTGTTTTTTTGGTGAAGGTATTATTTTGCTGCTGATTTTACATTATTTGGATGGTGTAATGGAATGCATTTATGTTCTTAAGGCTGTGTTTGGTTGCAGTGAGAATTTCATTTGCACTGGTGTAAATGCATGTGAGTCAGTGTTTTAAAAGCGCAAGGCACAAAAAAGTTGCAGGGGTCAATTTGCGCCTGAGGCACAAGGCACAAGGCGCAAGGCGAGGCATGCGCCTTTTTGAAGCAAAGCACAAAAATACAAAAAAAAATGCTAAAAAATCAAAAAAAAAATGTCAGAAAATTCAAAAAAAATGCCAAAAGATTCAAAAAATATTAAACATAATATTACTAAAAAATATAAGGTTAAAATTTAAAATAATGTTCCAACAAACCTATTATCTAAAATTAAAATACATAAACATAAGATGTAAAGCATATTCAAATGAGAATTTAAAAATAAAATCAAACATATAAAACATTTTCAAGCATGTAAAACCTCTAATCTCTTTTTTCA